ACTTCTCTGATTTCGACCATGTGGTCAAAGTGTATTCAAGACAATGAGATCATAAACATTTGCTCTTTCACAGACAAATTATCTAGAACTGAAAATAATAACTTGCTGTCTGCTATCTCCACAAGAGCAGCAGACAAGCTCTTTGTTACATAAAGATCTACCCCAACTCTGGGTGACTTTCTCAATACCCCAGCCGCTGTGGTCTATCCTAGCTCCGAGTTCCACTCCCAATTCCTACTCAGATTTCAGTGTCGATTTCTCAGCTCCACCTTCAAACTCCACCAGGTTCCTCTCTCAGATTCAACTCTCCCTTTTCAGTTTCAATTTCAAATCCCGACTGTCAGATTTCAGTCTCAGATTTTGCTTCACTCTCAGCTCCCATTCTCAGGTCTTCCACTCTGATCTCAGCTCCCACTCACAGATTACACTTCAATCTCAGATCCCATTCACGGATTTCACTTCAATCTCAGATCCCAATCTCAGATTTTCCACTCTGATTTCAGCTCCCACTCACAGATTACACTTCAATCTCAGATCTCAATCTCAGATTACACTTCAATCTCGGATCCCACTCACAGATGTCGCACCTCAATCTCAGATCCCAATCTAATTTCACTCCACGATACCACTCACCACCCACGAGAGGTTGCTTTCTCCTCCTTCGAACTCTCCACACTCCCCTCCTAATCCTCACCACTTCCCTGCGAAAATCACTCACATCCACACTCTATCCTCCTACCGATCCCACCAGCGTCTCCACACAATGGCACACCACACGATCTCTATCCCCAGGCCAAAAATTCCTCTCCAACGTTCAAGGGCCGAGTCACCCACAGCCCGCGATGATGGGCAACGGCCTGGCTCCCATGTGCAACTTCATGCCCCACGCTGCCTCACCTGTACAGTCTTTATTTATGATCACGTCAACATCCGCCGTCCAAAATTGTCTTCCGCGCACCGCCGAAGGCATCCCCCGCCGAAGACGCTCTTCTACACCTTTGCCAATCTATAACAATAACCCCGACGCCCATAACTCACGGATCCCTGCTTCGTTTGCAACATTCGTGTGCTCGTTGGAACAATCGTGTTGTGCTCTTTCCAACGAGCCCCTAACTAAGTCAAACCGATAAGAATTGAGAAAGTTATGACGGTTTTTACTCTTCCGCCGAAGGCGTTCGCCTATCCGCAGGCGTCCGCGTCCTACCCACAGGCCGCCTATCCACAGGCCGTCCGCCTGTGCACAGGCCGTCCTTGGGCCAAAGGCCCCTCTATATGTTAAAGCCGAAGGCCCCTTTAACTGTTAACGCCGAAGGCCTCACGCCTAACCATGACAGTCGCTTTCGACGCTCATAACTCATTGATGACTGATCCGTTTCAAGAGATCTTGGTCTCGTTGGAACCAGCTCGTCGAGTTCTTTCCAACGAGACCCAAATCAAGTCAAACTGCTAAGAATTGAAAAAGATATGCCGGTTTTACTGCTTTGCCGAAGGCCTGCAACCGCCGAAGGCGTCCGTTCGCGCAAAGGACAAAAGTTGAATTCCCTTCCGCGTAGGCGGAATTCCCGCCGGAGGCGAACTCCTTCCGCCGAAGGCGAACGTCTACGTATCTTCCGATAGTCATAACTCACTAAGTCCTCATCCGTTCCAAGCGTTCTTGGGCTCGTTAGAACGAGCGTGTCGAGCTCTTTCCAACGATACCCTAACAAACGCAAACCGTTAAGAATTGAAAACGTTATGTCGATTTTACCCTTCCGCCAAGGCGTTTGCCTGTGCACAGGCGGCCTGCGCACAGGCCGCCTACGCGCAACCCGCCTACGCGTAGGCCGCCGAAGGCCTTCCATATCAGAAACTTCCGCCGCTCCTAACTCGGTGCTGCCTTATCCGTTTTGAGAGTTCTTGGTCTCGTTGGAACGAGCGTCGCGAGCTCTTTCCAACAAGACCCTAATTGAGTCAAGGCGTCACACATTGAAAACGTTATGAGAGTTTCACTCCTTCGCCGAAGGCCTTTCTCCGAAGGGACTTCACCGAAGACCTTGCCCGGAAGGCCTCCTTCCGCACCTCTTGCCGCCTAACCATCACACCAACTCCTAATCTTGCAGAAACTTTCAGAAAACCCCAAGTATAATTTTGCAAGAGCTTAAATCCAAACTTTTAACTCTCATAAGGGTAAAAAGACAAGTGAGCACAGTTTTGTGCTCACACACAGTGAATCCTGCACAATCCATCCTGCCTCAATGCTGTCACCACAACTGCAAAAAGCACCTGAAATGACAAACGAATTGAAAGTGTCATCCCACAGTGGATCTGCACAATCCATCCTGCCTCCATGCTGTCACTACACCTGCAAAAAGCACCTGAAATGACAAGAAAAGGACAAGCACGAGCTCTGGTACGAGCTTCTCACAGCACTGACACTGGCACCCAAAAGCGACGTCGAAACATCGACGAGTTGGCGTATATCGATGTGACCTTATTTTCAAAAACCCTAAACTTTGCCGCCTAAAATTTTGTCGCCACAATATGTTATCATTGTTTGAATTACAAATATTACAGTTTAAATTTATTCGGGATTCCAACTGAACTATTCCTCGTGCGGTTTAGTTTTAGTTGTACTAAAACAGCGGCCTCTACATGCCTCTACATGGTTGTCGGAAATTAATCCGGTTGACGGCCTCTACATGGTTGTCAGAAAGTTGGGTTCCGACCTTCAAGTACCCAAAACTGAGATAAAATCCGGCTGACTCGGGGCTGCCCGAATGGAGCATGAAGCAAGAAAGAAAGAGTAGAAAGAAATTGGGATCCTTGACACCTGGCAGCACGGTAGTTTGTATAAGTTTGTGCAACTAAGCGAGTCGCCAGTGCTAGATGGAGCAATTACCCTTTGGAGGATATGTGGATCTTCCGAGATAACCTCGGACTCCGCATTGATGGTAAATGGATAAGCCCGTGGTTAAAAAAACACAATACAAATAATCAAATTCTTTAAAAAAACTTCAATGACAAGCTCAAATTACAATTATGAATTATATTGACTTTGAATAATCGTGAAAGTTCAGTATTGCAACTCTTGGGGTACTTTACACTAACACAAGTGAATCAAAATTAGTTTTTTTTAGAGTATAACTGCTTCTAACTATAGCATTTAAACGATATTTTAATCGGATTACGACTTTGCACTATTTTCCCATGGCCATATTCTCAAGAAATATATTGCATTGATTTCTATGACGGGAACTCTAGATCTATTCAAAACAAGATTCTTGTTAACCCCATGTCCACAGCATGAATGGTGTTATCACATTATCTGTTGTAATTGATGTTTATCCTTCATTCATTATCAAATATAAACGAAATACATCATGAATTTCAAAACTATATCATTGCTTGTTATTCCTCCATCTTCGTACTTCTAGTTCAACTATCTAGCAAGAAATAACACTGTGTAAGTTGTGGTAACCATCATGCACGTATGTATCATATTGCAACACACATTGTTGTCACATTAGCAAATCACATCAAGACAAGTGTATTTTATTAGTTCCACCTCTATGACATCACCTAGTTTATTAATATTTTATGTACTTTCTAGACATATTGTCAAAATAACTAGTATTGACGTGTTCATTGAATTTTGTCCCATTTTTTCCAATCCTTATCACATCCCTTGCATACTAGTTTCATTTTTATTGCACAAATAAGAGATAGATTGTCATAAGATGTCACATAATGAATGTCACACGGATTTCAAAAACTATGAATATTTACTATTAACAAACGTGCACTAAAAAATTAATGTTAAACATAGCATATGTCATACTATTCCATTCATAGTAAAACAAAATCACAATTAAGTTCAAATATTTAAAAAATATAGATAAAAACTATCGAAAGTATGTAAGAGAACAAAATTTAATTTTTTTTATCATTACTAGAACTGATTATCCTAGATTATATATTTATATATATGGAGTATCAAAAATCGTCATGGAGAAATCTCAGATTGATGTGATCGCCAAAAATCATGAAAATGAAGTATTCTGATTTGAATATACTAAAAAGTTCTTCATCATGTAAAGCGATTCACGATTAAATTAAGTTTCAAAGCTCTTCGATTGGTATGATTTTATTTTTCCAAGTATATGTTTTCAAATTCAATCTACTCATATTTCAGTGGAGATTATAATTTCTAAATAGTAAAACTAACCCAAAATCCTTCACTTATAAGAGATAAGGGAAGTAAGTTGAAATTAGTTGTTGTAGATAAAGATTTAAAAATAATTTATAGAGTTGAAAATATTTTTATTAGAGATAAGAGAGAAATTTTTAAATACTATGTTATTAAATTTTTTGTAATGAAAATGAAGGGTTAAAATACTCCAAAAACTTCAATAAATGTAACATCAATCGTATATTTTATTTCATCTGGTAAGTTTATACAAGATTCAAACCAACAAGAGACTTGAGTCATGGTACTCTTGAATACATAATGGTTAACATAAGTAAGCTTTATATATATATATATAATGAATCACGAAATTCATGCGGAAATTTCTCACGAGACCAAGTCATGTGCTAAAGTTAAAATTTCTCACGAGACCAATATAGTGGCTTAAGAGTTGAAAAATACCTAATAATAACTGTAAACATACCTAGCAAACAAGAAAATATGCGACTGAAACCGCTTTGAAAACGTATGTAACCTTATTAATTTGCACAACTTCTCATTATTCTTCATCTTTTTCGTTAGATAGCCGAAGAGATATTTTATAATTAGTTCATTTTGATTTAAGTTGTTATATTAGGGACATTATTAATGCTATTGGCACTAACTAGATATTGGCCTGTGGATCTTTTCACTTGTTTTCGGTTGTGATTTGTATTGTGTTTTTGAGTCATTTGATTTTGAACGCGTTGTTATTGTTGCAAGATGTGGACAACATTCCCAATAAAAGTGCAGAACTCATCCCAAGAATCGTACAATTCACGGAACATCGGGGAATGGCATGGCAGAAGATTTTACTCGAGAATCCCAAAGACGGGTCAGGGACTGTGCAGATATGACACTGATGAAGTGGGCATCAAAGTCTGTAACTGCACGTTGTGATTCCCATCTCGAGGGATCAGTGCGTGAGAGATCTGTGATTTTGTTTGGATTGGATTCGAAGACCGTACCATAGCCATGACCCACACTTGCTGCAACCACTGAAGTCCTTGCTTCAAGCGGGAAGGGTACATTTCTGGACAAGTCAATCCAGCTAAGCCTACTCCTCTGCCTTCCTCACGGGACATGGACCGACCGATCTCGTTGCCCTCTCTTCCTGTGACAGTGCTGAGGAATGCCAAGTATCAGCTGATTCAGAAGTGGAAACGCTCACAGGCAGAGGATGAATGATCGATCTCGCAGCAGGCATCGATAGATCCAGGTACGCCTAATTAAGAATCAGGGCCCGGATGCATCTCCTAGCATCGGACGTATACATCTGTAGGGAGAAAGAGTCCAATCTTCGCTCTGCAACATCGTTGACGTCTTGATCTGAACTTCCTTTCCGATGTCCGTGCCGACTTCATATGGAGAAGGATTGTTGGAGTCGATCTCATGAAGCTGTAGGCCAATTTCCCAGTGTGTAGACACTGTCCGAAGCCGGAAAGGAAAATAAAGGCAAGCCTCGACGCGGAAGCTTCATCCCTGGGGTCAGAATCAGGAAATCTCCCTAACACCACACAGGCCCTGCATCCTGCCTAGCCTCTCTTAGCAATCTCTGACAGCACAGGCTAGGCGCAGTAGACTCGATCCGATCCGATGGCATACTCAGATTCGCGACCAGAAACCATGGAATTCAATCTGATCTGCTGAACATTCACGCACGTTTCGAGCTCTGCAGAGCAACGACTGTGTCAGCACTGCATCTGGAGAGGAGTAGTGGTCACCTTTCGTCCATCAGTTGTCGAGGCAGGATTTTGTCGAGAAGAAGGTTGACGACGAGGGGATTTGATTATTCCGGCTACGGGACGCTGTGATTGCCTGCGAATACGACCTCACTGAGCAGTAGAACTGTGAACAAAAGAAGAGCTCGGCAGTAGCCTGACGAGGAGGAATTCATTCCTCCTCGTCACGTGAAACGTGACGAGAATGAAACGTGAATCATGGTTTGTCCAGAATAGATTCCAGTCTTTACTCACAGAGCATGTTCGCCTTTACAATTTACAGTCAGAATATATCAAACTCTATCTACAAATATGACAAGAATTTTTCTCTTGTACATTTCAGTATTCTCCAACATAAGAGTACTTGAATACTAGCGTTGGGTCCATAAATTTCCTGTGCAGATGTTAGACAGTAAAAAGCTGGGTCCTGAACACAGTCGTCGTGAGCCAAGACAGAGTCACCTGGCGGTTCGTTGGGCGCAGTTCTACATTTTGTCGGATGGTTCGTTTTGTTCATCGTCAGGGTTGCCGTACCATTCCTCGAAAATCTCCCCTGGGGATCTGTAAGGGCTGGTGCTAGAGTTACACCACGGGGTTATATCGATCAATCTAAACCGTGGCATTAATTTGATTTTCTCTAGGTCTTCCTTATCAAGGGTCCATCTGAAAATGTCCAGATTTTGCGCCATCCTGGCAGGACTGGTGGTGTGAGTCACCACCGCAGCTCCTTGGTCTAGACACCACCGCAGGGCGACCTGCACCTCTCAACGAAATCCGTGTGTGAGTTGCCCGATCGATAGACGAAAATCGCTGACATTCTCTATGACATCTCTCTCTCTCTCTCTCTCTCTCTCTCTGACGAGCACTCGAAAGAGGGTTCACGGAGCTCACCTGGGAGACGGTTTTGTTATGCTTAACAGCAATTTCTTGGATTATTGGGCTGTCGATTATTGAATTGCTTCCCCCTTTCAGACCAGGTGCTCCTAGCGGAAGCGATGCAGTGACAACGGTTCCCATTATCCTGCAAATGTCCAGAAGCTTCGGTTGTAGGCATCCCGGATGCATTTCTATCTGTCAACAAGAGCAGCTGTCAGTACCTTCTCAACCTCCTTCACGTCACAGAATTGAATCCTGCAAAGTCCTCCTCACTCCTCCTCACTCCTCGTTCTACAAAGTGCGACGAACAATCTGGATTCTGCGTATGGTTACCTGGTTTACAGCGGGTACTGTCTTTATCTTCAAATCGGATGTTATCAATTTCAGCTGCCTGGGACCGAAATTGGACACCCCGATCGCCTTGGTGAGACCGAGCTCCACGCATTTTTCAAGAACTCTCCAGACTCCGACCAGGTCTAATGGCAAGAATGCCTCCTCTGTGAACGGAATGCCCGTGCCTTCCTTGAGATGTAGAGGGCAATGAATCAAGTACATATCCACATAGTCTAGCTGCAATTCACTGTGGCCAAGATTTAGGACACGGTGAGATCGAAGCGCAGCCAAAGCGTGTAGGCAAAGTGCTGAGGTCTGGTCTGGTTTGCTTTGATTTGATTCTACTCGATTCCAATTCCAACTCTCCACTCATACACGATCTACCCACATCAGACTATATCAACAGACTGAAGCACGTAACATGATTGCCACTCTGCACTGGACAGCTGCATGGAATGCTCCTCGTTGATTGTTATCCAGTTTGCGCTGTTCCTCCCTTCCTCCGTGTGCAGATGACTGGAGGACGAAGCTAGAGACGCATCGCGTCGAAAAGAAGTGCATTCATGAGTGCAAGGCTGTTGATCTAGTGCATGGAATCGGTTGAAGCGCATCAAGTACCTGAGGCTCCTCTTGAGAGCAGATACAACTCCATCTGGGTGAGTATCTTGCGGGTGAAGCTTACTTGTGATGAACAATTCTTCTCGCTTATACGCACCGGAGCTCAAAACCTCATGAAGTACTTCTCCCAGTAAGTGTTCCTTTCTGTACGCAGCGGCTGTGTCTATATGTCTGTACCCGATCTGCACAGTTGGTGATCTTAGGCACGTGTATCCGGGCATTTGACTGCGCTACTAAATCGTCCAGTGAATCGAAGGCAGAGCAGCAAGCCACCTACAGATTTAAGCATTGATTGAATCCTGGCGATTGAGCTACTCAGCAGTCAGTACGTACGTCGGGGTGAGGTAGTGCGATTGCATCGACTCGGAGTTTTGCATCTATTGAATCTGAGATCTGTGGAGCCAATCAAAGGATCTATGTCGGTCCTCACTGTGTCGGTCGATGCAGGAAACAAAGGAGGAGGAGGGGGAGGTGAATTGCCAAATGAAGTGTGTCGTATGGAAGTGTCCAGGACTCCTTCCTCACTCATCCATCACTCGAGCATACCTCAAGACTCTTACGAAGTCGCGCTTTGATTTCCTCTGGAGTCTCTCGTACGGTGCCAGGAAAGCTCATGGCGATGGCAGGCATGAGCGCACCAGTGTTGAGCTGGAAGCTCAAGACTTCATTTTTCATCTTACCCATCAGCTTGAAGCTCCCGAAGACGAGAGCTGCAAGATTTAGACTTGAGTTACGACTAAGCATGTTCGTCTAAATCTTGGCCTTCTTCTATCTGTGACGATGCTGGCTGGCTAGCTAGCTAGCGAGAGGAGGAGTACCAGCAGTTATGCAAGAGCATTATCAATTGCCCTCTTGCACGACAGCAATGCTCAGCGGGGGGCTCAGCAATCTGTCATGCAGGAAAAGAACACCCGCGAGAGTCCGAGATGTTCAAGTATCCGAAACCTCATCTGCCATGACTTAAAAGATACCTTGCATTTGTATGACCGTCCACGTTATCGGCTCGTCCGATGCATCCCGCTGCTGCATCAACCTCTCACTATTCATACAGCAACGCTGAAAACCAGCCCATCGTGCTTTGTCGTGCTTCAGATAGACGAATTCAGAGCCTTATTATTCTACGCTCTACAGACCCCACCAGATTGTCGACCACGCCAAGGCATGGCACAGCTGAACCTCGCCACATCCCTCTCTCTCCATCTTGCATGGACAAGATCCTCACCGAGACACGGCCTGCAGTCGAGCTCTCTTTTCTCTCGCTGCTTCCCACGCCATTTGACCTCTCACGAAGTACAGTTCGCGCGAGATATATACTTCACCAATCCTCGTCCCCAGTATGAATCTCTTCCATCTCCGAACCTTGCCCAAAGGAATCAATTGACATGGACATCAAGGCCAAGCGCAGTTGCGTATACTCTCTTGTCTGCATCTGAACCTCCTCGTGAAATCTCTCCTTCTGCCTCCACCAGTTGCTCTGAAACTGGTGAAGTTTTAACTTCCTCGAGTCAGATTCATGGACCTTCACAACCAGCTCAGCCGGCTGCGCAGAGAAACCGCAGAATACTGTATATATTCTGCGAGAGAGAAGGTTAGAAACGAACTGTCTTGACGCTGGGAAAATTGGTTTTATCCAAATCTTGGATCTTCAAAACAGTTCCCCAAGGACCTGTTGATGACAATCGTCGATCGATTTCTTGTCCAGCCTGATATGATTATTATAAGATTTCGCTTCTTAGAATAAGGACACTGTACTTTATCCAGATATCTGCATAGCTGTCTTACAACGTTAGTTCATGGAACAATGAGGACCACTATTTTCTGAAATATGCCATAAAATCAGCATCGCATACCGTGAACTCAGCATGTCTAGCACTCCGTTCACAGGCTTGGTTTCCGAGATGCGTGAGCTTGACTTCTGGCTTCATCTCATCCTTGTTTCTTTACGAAGCATGTGACGACCTTATTCAAAATTTCACGACTTGTGGTCAAGGTTATTTATTTTCAAAAGACGGCAGACATGGAGAATTGGACCATGGAACAGCAAGGCAGCGGTGTGGAGAGACCAAGACGCTTTTACGCTTTTACCCTGAGTCGATTGACATACTTATTTATCGTTCTAATTGCAACTTCTGGTGTTATTGAAAGGAGCAAATGAGAGGATCACGGAACGATGACTCTTTCAATTGAGCTGGTTTGTTCTCATGTACAACAGCAGAAGACATCTGCAGCGAGAGGTCAGGTTCCCAGGAGTGACAAAAATTGTGCTTTGCAAAAAAGTGTGTGGAAAAAACTCCGATGCAACAAGTTCACAAGAACTACTCATTCAAGCGTTTCATTTGACAACAGTACCCATACTTGTGTTAGTTTCTAGAATAGTGAGCCGTCATGTAGTAGATTCAGACCTTCACATTCAAAGATTCATGCTATCAGAATTGCTTTTGTCTCACTGATTACTCTAGATTTCACCTTTCAGCTTCATCTACAACATTTGTTGTTAATTTATCGTAGGATAGATAAAGAAAGTCAATCTTAGAGACTTTATGCTTGTTATTGCTTCTCTCTTGTATTTTTTTAAGTGATTAGATCTAAATATCAACGTGAAGCTGCGCATTGCTTGATAAAGCAAGAAATCCTTATTTGGAAAAACCCATTAGAACTCCCTGGCTCAAATGCGACCTGTTAGCAGTCCTGTTGAATCACAGACCGGACCATCAGCATCAGGGTACTACAAAGTGTTCAGATTCTCTAATAGCTAAAGTCCGAGAGGCTAAAGGACGAAACATACTGCTACGAAATACGAAAAAAATTCTAACCACGAGAACACGAAAGGGTAAATAAAGCATCAGTATGGGACGGCAGGAGTTCAGATGTCTCCGTCCTATTTCCGAGATAAAATATACATCAATATCCCTTTTTCGGACTTTGTTTTACTGTTACGCAGAATACTCTAAAATTTTCACCTTCAAACAGGACAAACAGGAACATCGTTTCTTCACTACAATATCTTTGAAGGCCTCAAAACTGAAGCGAGCATCAAATTCAATTCCACATTGTCTTCCTCCAACTAGAGTTGTGGAGCAAGCCTTGCTGATAGATTATAGTTTCGTGTACTTGCAACCATCTTATCATCCGATAGTGCAAAATAAATAAAAGTGTTCTTGCTTGATTTCCCCGGTTCGAAGTGTAAAGGATATTTCCTTGAATTTTATCTGTTAGACAGAATTGTCAAGGAGAGTTACACCAGTTAGCAGAGTTGAAAGCTTTGAATGTAAGGTGCAAAAATTGGACAGCTGTGTTGAACCATAAGTGATAGAGACAACTTGATCACAAACATATCGTAACCCAAAGAAATTTAGCCCGAGTTCGTAGAGTTTCCAAACGAATGTCGGAAGTTCAGAAACGTATGATAGCTTGCTTTCATCATTGACATGCCATTTGTAATTGAACCCCTCCCGTCACTAGCAATTCCGGGCACGGTAGCACGTCCTGAGAAATCTTTCTCAGTTGGCATGAAATCAGCACGCTGACCATCCACTCAGTCGTCGACCGAGTCGTTCATTGTGTTCCGTCTAATCCAGACTCATCATCTACTCTTCACGTTGTGGGCAACGACTGCTTCGCAAATGTTTGATATCTCTTAGTGACCGGTAATCGGACCGTGGCAAGTTCATTGGTAACATGGGCCATGAAGTCTAAAGGAAGCATGGAAAGAGAACTGAGGCACTGCAAGCATCATGTTGTATCTGGAAGGAGGGAGGGCTCACGTTGTCAACCATTGAACTTGGACGTGTGCATTGAGCTGACTCGATCGTGGATCTTATTTGGGTAGAGAGCCCATCAGCTGCAGGTCTAGTTCTGGAGGAGATGCAATGATTATCGTAGTGGCAAAATGTCAACTGAATACATCATAGAAAAAGGGAGAAGCTGGGAGATCACAGCGTGTCAACGTGGTGAACACATTTTCACATTCCTTGATGCATCATGGTTCAACTGCACACCTTTTAATAACAACCCAGTCACGCATCCAGCTCATGCCCTTCCTCAATGGAGCGCGAGATGGTAGCTCCCTGGAGCTGCAACTTTTGGACCTTGTACACTGTCCTCCTCTCTTCACGTGCCTGTGAAACTTGTATTGTCTGGAATTGTATATCACGTCAACTTCATTTATTTACATGTTTCAGACGTTGACGACTTGCTATACTTTCACAGACCGGATTATGATGTCTCTTCTTCCCCTGAGGTAAATCTTCTCTTTTCAGGCTTTGGATACCATTAAATCAATTGAGGAGCTCAACATATTTTATACATAGCTGCTATTCTCCAAGAAAGACGAAAGATGATACAAGAAATGTCTATGACACTTACTGACACATGATATTTGATCAGTCTTGAGACATATGTGTCGCTGAATATCGGGATCACATGTGTAAATATTAAAGAAGAAAAGCGGAGGCCCAGGAAATACCCAAGCGAGTTTCCTGCTGTGTTTGCTCCTTTGGTGAAATAGGGTAGCCCTTTTTTGTTCAAAACGAACGAAATGCATATCATTTGTGATAGGAAGAAGCACTGGATCTTTTATTACAACACAGCACCTCGTTGCAAATATGATATATCTCGCAAATAAATAAGAATGTTCATATAGCCTTGGCGAATATACATTTTAAATATCCAAAATACCCCCACATGCTCCTCTTTCTATCCAGATTCATGAGCTTTCACGATATAAAGAAAGTGTTGGAAAAAGAAAAAACTTCACAGAATCATTGTTCTTGTGATGATATGTTCTAAAAAACCAATCACAAAAATCTTTAACAGCATGAATTGAGAATATTCTTTTAAATTACTTATAAATTCTTATAATATCATCTTTTTTAGAAATAATGAGAGCTAGCGGACAAGAATTGGAAATCTATTTTTAAAATGAACTACTTTGCGAATCAAGCAAGCATTGATAATGAATCATCGGCGACAATTCATACGGTAAATCTTTACAGTATTTGGTCAATGTGTATGTAGATTAAAGGTAAATTATCTGCCAACCAAACAGAGGATGCGGGTTCCGTTTTGTATTCTTCAAAGTCTAAAGTTCACATGTTGTGTCAAAAGTAAAGGTTTATCACCAAATTTAGAAAATGTTTTGAAAACCGAAAAATTACTTTGAGAAAAAAATTATTTATTTCGGAGCTTCGAAACATATCTGTTTCAATACAATCTTGAGCTTTATGTGTACTGAAACGCAAGATTTTTCCAACAATGTTGTATATTTAAAACTAAAATGGAAAATTCACTGTGTATATTTTTTATTTACTTTTCATCTAAATGTAAAAAAAACTCAAAAAAACATTTGTAATTCAAATTTTTTTTACATGAAATTATTATAAAAATCTGTCAATCATATAGCATAGAGTCATGAAGTTTACATATGAATACAGTATACAAAAAATGACTATCAAATGGATATGAAAAAAGAAGAGCATCTTACATTATTATCGATATAAAAAACTTATCTAGGTGCAAAGTCACATGTACTACTACACATGATGCAAGATTGACATTACAAACTTCTTGGAAAAGGAATTTATAATAAGATGAGCCTGATAGTTTTTGACCACGTCAAATTCATTTATACCGATTCGACAGTTGCATTATAATGTTCAACTGTTAAGCAATACATTGTCTGGAAGTAAAACTTTATATGATCAAGTATGAAACTCAAACTACCGTTGGAATTTTGAAGTTACACCATCATCAGTATATGTGGAGCTTTTTTCTTAAAGTGAGCCGTTGGTGAATGGTCTGGGATTACGAGCTTCTTTGTAAATGTGAACAGAAAAATCACACAACAGAGGTTCGACAATGGCTTCCCACCTCCGTGCACGTCCGGGGATCCTTGTTCTAAATCATCTGTTCACAGTGTTCAACAGAGGCTTCCGAGGTTCGAATGCAGTAAGAGCATACCGCAGAAATTCTCCTCATAATCTACAAGGCAATTGTAGGCAACACCTACGCCTGCATAGCAGCAAAAACTTGCTTCCTAGGTTTCGTGTATTCAGTAAGTAAGCTCAGCAGCGCGCAAGTAGAGCGTAAGTTCAACTGGCAAAGTTGAACAAAAGTATCTTCATCAGAATCAGCCCGACTTGATTGAGATGTCCTTCTGGTCAACTGAGAAGTTGATGAGGCGTGACATCCACTATACGGAAGGTCAGATGCACCTCCCACTCGAAAGCCCTGTTGTATACAGTAACCGATTATCCCGCGAGACAAACACACCAAGGCTCTGACTCTGCTTTTTTGTCCGGCAAGGCTTGTTATGTGGCTGTTATGACACTCCATCGCCAAACAAATCTATGAGATCGTAGATCGGATCGTCTCTTCTATACAGGCCCTACTGGGCACTTTACATAAGGCAAAGAGAATGGAGGTAAAATTTGTTGAAACTGAACACAGACGCTAGTAGACTATGAAAGGTCAGCCGCAAATGGATGTGGTGCGAAATTCGTGCTGGCCTTCAATGTACCGTGCCAGGGCACCGTAAAATTAGGGATCATTTCTCTGTCGAAACACTTCAGGGGAATAAACAATCTTCACAAGCGAAACTTCTAAACGTACACAAATATTACAACTTGCGGCTTACATTGCCTATGATTGTCTGACCTGGTACCCAAGTACATTACTACATTCTACCGGGCAAAAATGATGGCAGCTCTGCTGCTCACACAATCGATTTGCGGAAGCGCCTACCCCAGATACTTCCTCTGAGAACTTCTGACTATGTACTCCTTGTATAACGTTAGATTGGGCTGGATTCACCTCCAGCACACGTTAACTTATTGTGATTTCAAAATTGGAAAGGCTATGACATCTCGTATACTTGCACTATCGGTTAAAACCATCACGAGGCGATCAATGCCAATGCCCTGCAAACCAAGTACAGAATAGGGTGAGAATTACAAGAAAAACAATTCAGACAAGCACTAAGAAGGTATACACAAACTCAGACTACCGGAAAAATAAACCATCTTGAAGCAGAAGAGAGCCTGCCAAAGAGAAAGCATGAACTACCATTCCAGCAGTCGGTGGCATTCCATACTCCAGAGCTGTCACGAAATCCTCATCTATTTTCACTTCAAATGCTTCGTTTGCCTGCTCTTTCACAGCATGGTCTCCTTTAGCTTTGGCCAGCTCGGCTTCTGCGGCCATCCTTTCGGTGTGAACGCGTAACTGACCCTCCAGTCGCTCTCTCTGTCGCAAGCCACAATTACAAGGGCTGTTTAGGTCATGCAGCAGGAAACACATAACCGTAGAAAGATTTAGTGCTTTGACTACAAGTTCGTTGAGTGTCACAAGTGAATAACCTGGTCCACGGGATCAGTAAGTTCCGAGAAAGCATTCGCCATTTCACGTCCGTACATGAAGAGCTCAAAGCGCTCCGTTAACCCAGGTTTGCTGCAAAACAGACGCCCACACATATTAGCCGTCGTAAAGAGGGCATATCACCCAGATTCCCAAATTTCGCATAAAAAAATTCTTGTCCTCTCCACTGCAGATGCGATGCTGATGTTAGTCGCGCCAGTCGGGGTAGCACTTTTACCTTCTATGCGGTTTGGCCAATGGTGAGATTTCTACAGGATGATCCATCACAAACGTCGGCTGAATTAAGGTCTTTTCCACCACAGTTTCAAACACCTGATAATTGACAGCAAGCACGATTGGATCTCAGATGGAATATAGAAATGTAACCACGTGCTTTTGATATCCAGGACATAAGAAGGTTTCAAAAGTAGCAATTTGTATTAACAAAGCATTGCACAGCATTGGGCTTGGCGGAGAGAACTAAGGCTAGACTTCCTTACCTCATTAAGCACGTGTCCGACTGATGAGCAATGATCAAATAGGCTTGAGTTGCTAGTCGACAGTGCCGAAACCGCAGCAGACTTAGCAGCCTCTAAGTTTGAACCAAATGTTGCGAAATCTATACCTGTAGCATCCTGCACTAACGAGTGCATAGAGGCTCTTCTCCACGGGCGTTCAAAACTTATGTCCGTGCCCTGCTCTGACGAAGGCCATAGTAATGATCAGCACGTATGGTAATGCTTAAACAATTCTACGATAAAAGCCACCAAAAAATCGGCGCTATATTTCTCTTATCCCATTCATGAGTATATACTACGTGGACTCAGATCGTGAGTATATACTGGAAACACATTTTACCTGATATGTAACGGTGGTCTTTCCATTGACAGCCATGGCACACCTTGTAACAAGATCCTCGGCCAGATTCATCATATCATGATAGTCCGCGTACGCTTGGTACATCTGCTTCACAAAAGTTTGACAATAGCCTGAAAATGGTTAAAAAAGGTTCCGTCCAGTATCCATACTTCTGTAGGGTTCTATTTTAAAATTTAGAATACCGTATTTGTAGATGGTAAAACAAAACATAGAATAGTTACCTCTATTGAAGTAAATTCAGGATTGTGGCGAGTCGAGATGCCTTCATTTCTAAATATCCGACCAATCTCGAATACTCTCTCAAAGCCTCCAACCTACAAGTTGTATGTGGCTCAGTTCATTTATCATGGCCGACAACAAAGAAAAGACTACCGAATATTAACTCCGGTAACTACATCGCTTTAGGGCTAGCCCATAAACGACAGCAAACTGGCTGTGAATTTGACCGGTAGCTACATACCACCATTCGCTTAAGATGCAGTTCGGTAGCAATGCGTAGATACAAGTCCCTGCCCAGAGCATTATGAAAAGTCACAAATGGCCTTGCATCAGCTCCTCCAGCTGCACCCTGGTCAAAAATGCTTCTCAGTAAAAGCGATTCCAAATATAAAAGAAAGCTGAAGACAGAGAACATAAATCCTATCACCATTAAAAAGCATTCCAAGACAAGCAGTGATCCGGCCCATTTTTCTTAATAGGTGCTTACTATACGCTGTCAGTGGAAGAAAGATTATTAATATGTTTCTGTTTAGCAAGACCGAGTACAAGTTCAGTTAAAGCGATAGGGGCTGTGAAATTAGTTGAAAGGCAAGCTCAGACAAAGAAATGAATGAAATTTGTGGCAAAGGGAAAATGTTATTCATAATTAGCGCTTCACAAATAAGTCAGTAAACATACAAACAGCAGCTGGAGCAATCCAGTTTATGGCTGAAGAAATTCAACAGGTGTGAACAACAAATCGGAAGAATAAACGGCGAAGGTGACCAGAAACAGATGTATTAATATTGACTCCGTTGATGCTGAATAGAAGTCTAGAGACTGGATTCAGCTTCGAAATGAGCTTGCCTTATCAATTAACTAATCAACCCTTTGACTTGCCCCAACTATCCCCATACAAATATTCAAGGTTGTGAAACTACTACAGAAATGCAGACATTTTCAAAAACAAATCAGAAGTTTCCAACGGAGGGTAGATAGTTGCAACTTTTACATCCAATTAAGATCATGTGGGCTGATCTACGACTTCCAGAATCATCCAAAGAATCAATTCTACAACGTTACAACGGCTGGCAACGTTGCCAGCCGAAAAGCAAACGCCATGTACACGACGAACAGACTTAAAATTAATTTATGATTTGTGAATTCATCTGCTAGACTCAGAATATATATCTTGATGTGAAAGGACGCAGGTACACTAAGAGATGCAGGATCTTCGCATCGCTACATTACAATAGAGCCTTCTATATGAATGGAACAACTGACCTGAAGAACGGGGGTTTCGATCTCCAAATACCCAAGCTCTTCCATATGCCTGCGTATTTCTGAAGTGATCTGCTCGAACATATAAGAGATAAGTAGAAGAAGTATTGATTGTCAGAATTACAGATGTATTCTTCAAACAAGTAATTCATATATTGCTGTCAGACATAAAAACTTGGTATCCACGATCAGCCACAAGATCCAGAAAAAATGGAAAAACTGAAGCAAAGTTGAGCAAAACATATGCAAAAGCATAAATGTCATCTTTTCGTTTAATGGCAGAAGCAAGAATGCAATTTGGTTGTATTTCATGGATGATTTACTAAACTTATCAGAGTGGCGACCAAGTCTTGAGGTTAGTAACTGTGAGGAAAAAACGACCCAAACTCTAAACCTCTTTTCCTTGTAAGACCAGCAGTTACCAGACACTAAGGCATTGAATTCTGTCGAATACGAACCTTTGCCCGTGCTCGAAAAACACCCGCAACATCGGGATTCACAATCATATCGACATATCTAATAGAACAACCAACCAACTGAATCGTGTCAGAACTCCTTGGTGATCAAACTGGAACTAACTTTCTTCCATAAATTGAATCCATGTATAGATTATACATCTAGGCTGAACATTTTCCATATTTTCCACATTGTAAGGAAAGAGCAGGAGCAAGGTGAACATAGGGAATTAAGGAAAGAACTGACTGTCATTCAACCGTAAACCTTGATGGCAGTCTCTGTGCATAAGAGTGGAACGAATCAAAAATTACATATAAAATTCCTCTCTCTGTGTAAAAATAGTTCTTATGAACCTCATCTTGATATTGATATCATCAGACTCAAGCAGTTAATCTCAAGCATATTGAGAACTTTGACATCCTCAGGGTTAACAATAAGACCTGTACAGCAACGTCAGAGGACCCAAAGACCATCAAAAATACAACGTACCGTTGACGATAACGTTTCTCGATGTCCGTAAGCCCATGCCATTTCTCAGGAAGAGGTAGTAATGACTTGGTTAAGATAGACAGCTTGTCAACGTATACAGACAGCTCCCCTGTGTAAAAGAACATGCCACAGCTTGAGTATATAACACTCGAGAGCGTCTCATCCCACTGTTCTGTTGTACCTAGAGACATATGTAAGAGGCAGATATCTATAGATCGTCTGTGACTAGGGTGGACAGATAGGTGCGGCATACAGTACCTTTCTCTGTTCGTTTAACAGTGCCCTCGGCACCGATGATATCTCCAATGTCAAGCACACCCTTGATTTGTTCAAAGCCTTCTTCGGTGAGTCGTGCTTTTTCACAGTAAAGCTACAAAACAGAGATTACGTTATTTAGCTCCTGAAAATTGTAACGTTGTCAAATTTCTCATCTTCATCTAAAAACCTTACAAGACCAGAATAATAACATATTTTGAATTTTTTTTACGTTTGAATATAGTCAGATAATTTCTAGGCAGCTCCGCATGATCATAGCCAATTCCTAGTGCACGGCGACTTCTCACCTGTATGGTGCTCGAGTCATCACGCAGGGTGAGAAAGGCAAGCTTGCCAAAAGCTCGACGTGCTGTGATCCTACCAGCCACTGATACTCTGTCATCTTCTTTGGCTGCTTCTACACCGTTCGGAAGATCAATGTACTTTTGCTGAAGTTCATCTGAAGTGTGCGTTCTATCCCAATTGTAGGCATATGGCTCAATTCCTCCAGCCCTCAACTTGTCAACCTACGAAGGAGAGCAGAACTAATTTTGAGTGCTGTAATTAGTCTTTTGTTAAACCAAACAAGCATTCATCCAGCAAAATTCACAAGGAACAATATTTTAAAAAAGCCTTGTTAATTACCTTTCCCCGGATGACAAACTGAAGAACACCACTTTGAAAAACAATTCAATTGTAAGCACGCTCAATTACGAAGTACGAGGTGTTCTACTACTGGAAATTGTCCACAGGACAATGTCCTACCTTTTGCAAACGAAGAGCACGAATGTCTTCACGAGAAGAGGTTCCCTCCGGCCCTTCAACATCTGCATCCTTTGCAGACTTCCGACGACCACCTCCTCCTCCTTCCTTGGGCTTGCGCAAATTCGGCTGCTTCTCGGATGTTTGAACAGAAAGGCATCGAACAGATCCGGGCAACAACGCCGTCGGACTGACAACCAATCTTGGGGACGACGAGCGCCCAAATTCATTCAAATTCAGCACCCAGCAGCACTGCGAGCACCTCAGAGCTGCAGGTGTTCGAGCACTGATTGAGGAGAAAATCCACCTCATCGAAGCGGCTCCTGTGGAAACCAAGCACGCAGCCATTGCCGGACCCGCTCTTCGTGCTCGGGCCAGAAATCCTTCCCTCCGTCACAGAACCATTAGCGAATTCCTATCCAACGATCCACGAGCCTTCCCTTCTCTCGAGACTGTGGTCGCCACTTCCGCTCAGTTTATCCTGTCCCCAATTTTGCCTTCCGACTTCATTTCGACTTTTGGCAGTGACATGGATTTATGGCCATTCTTGGCCATTCTTTGCGTCACTCCATGCCTGCCCCTCAGATAGATATGCTCAATAGGCCCTTTCGCTATAAGAACACGTGTGCTGTGAGCTTGTATGTGACTCGTCCAATAAGTCAGGTTCAAATCTTACTTTGCATAAAGACAGCAATGTTGATTTGCAAATCCCTTCAAGTGAAGATCAAAGTGTGTGTTCTCTATCTAAGACCGTCTTCAAATTTTATATATATATATATATATATATATACTCCTTTATCTATAATGATTATCATATGAACCCAACATCATTAAATAATTCTAGTGTTTAATGATTTTTATACATATCCAACTATACATTTGGTGCATAAGTTTGATATCAATCTCGCACATATATACTCTAACAAACTTAATAATATGAATCAAACTTATCATAAACAAGCACATATGTGTTAAATTGAGTCATTGCTTTCCAAATAAAACTCTTGTACACTGGACATCGTCTAAGGAAGTTAAAATTATATTCCTATGTGGAGTTAAATTCAGAAAATTTCACATTACAAAACGAAAATGATTATTACTTATATCATGTAATAGTCATACCAAACTTCACTATGAACACAATAAGAACATCTTCATCATACACTAAACAAGCAGAGTAGTTGTAAAACATAATCCATTCAAAAATCAATTTTTTCATATAATATACATCGTATTCACATAAGACTATCATCTTTGTCTAGAAATATGATCAATCGTGTAAACAACTACACATCATTTTACAAACCTCATCATCACTACATTATAAAATCAAAATTTCAAAAGAAATGTTCTGAAGGTTTTAAGTGAAGCAAATCATGTAATCAAAGAATTTTACAAATTAAAAATATATTCAACATACAATGTATGATTGGCGATTTATTTTAAATGAATAGTATTCAATGTTACATGTTGAAAAATAGTCATGTTTCAAACCTTCTGGATTTTAATATAGTAAAAAAATTTGATCTCTAAAAACAAACTAGTTCAAGTTTTTGAAATTCTAATACTATATGATAATATTATCTTGAAAGTTAATTATAGTTACTTTTAAGTCTATATTTTATTTTCAAAAAAATTTAAATATTAAATTTAATATTTTGAAAAATTTTAAGATTCCACAAGTCTCACGACTCTGCGGGGAATTTAGCGCTGAGGCCACCGCAATAACCCTTGTCATAGTCCAGTTGCTTGTAGCACTCGCTACGAGATGCCATAATTAATAATAATACAATAATTAAATGCCATTATATTCTAAATTGGTTTTCTTCAAATCAAAATTACTTGACTATTTCCAAACATATATTTACTATAATTTATCAAATCAAACAGAAGATTAATCATAATCTCATCATACAAATTATAATCTTCTTAAAAAATCAGGTTTCAAGCTAGTAAAGAAATTTGATGATGCATCCAACTCAGTAAAGTTGTCATCAGAATGATATAAAAAATTATTTCAATATCATAGATATTGAAAACTAAAATTTTTTATTTCGAAATATAATTTTAATCATAATAAATGATGTTTTATAATTCATAACAAAAATTTTGCAGCTTGCAAGTTTTAATGATAGTAATATTGGTTTAAATATGGGAGGTATGAATGTGATATAAACAATTATCAATTATATTTACACAATCATGTATCACGTATGATTGCATATGTTTATGACAAAAATGATTTTTCAATCAAGTTTCATCTATATTCATTTGAAATTGATATTATTATACCATGTATACAATGTGAATAACACAACAATCAATTTTCATTGAATGAACAATCTAGATTCTCGTATAGATTGTCAAATTTCATCTTTCTTGATGCAAATAAAAAATAATCTTAGAAAATAGAAAAATTCATGAAAATTCATCCATTTACCATGACAATTCCATCATATTTATTATGATTTATTACAGAATAAGCCTTGTTACATTATTCATATATGACACACTTAGAGTTCTAATATAAAATTTACATTACAGAGTATCTAAATAAAATATACTAAAATTGTAAGCTCATGTAAATTTCACAATTTTTTTACCATTTACCATTTTACAATATATTTTCATCAATTCTTATACCAATATTATTTTTGCTTAAATTAATTTTTAACTTTATTTATATAAATATGGTTATAATTATGTATATAATTATTGACATCATTAATTAATTAAAAAATAAATTTTCAAGCTCATGAATAATTTTATGTCATATATTTTATAAAATTTGTTCTTTGAATTTACTGATAAAAATAAAGAAAACATGAGTAATTTAAGCCTATATGTGTTGTTACTTTTTTTAAATTGAATGTAAAATTTAAAAAAATTCATGAGTAAAATTATCTATAATTAATCATGAAAATAATTCTCTTGACTTGTACTACTTGGAGCCTTGATCCACATACATCTAGTTTGCAACTAACAGAGTTGCTCCAAAACTCTGCTTCTAAGTTCTTTTTGAGACATAAGACCAGGAGAGCTAGAGGTCTTCCTTGCAATGGATGGTTTGACTTTGATTGCAAGCAAGCGAGTGCGAGATCACTTGATAAATCCTTGGATCTTCACAATCGGTTGATTATGACAAGACTTTACAAAGACTTGGTGAAGTCCAAGAAACGAGCATTTTTGAGGCAGAAGCAAGAGTGCTTGACAAAGGAGCTCTTGGAGAATCCCAAATCCTTTTGGGAGCGGTTGGCAGTACGATCTTCTAAACCTACTCTTGATCCCAAGTCTTTGATTTCTTTTGCTGAAAAGCTTTATTTCTTTCCCAATGTTGCATCTATGCCACATTGTGAAGGAAATCCAGGCTTATTTTCAGAAGTTGAAGTGATGACTCAACTCAGACAATTGGCAAATGGTAAATGTGAGGATTTGGATGGGCTTTCCATTGAACTTCTCAAGTAGGGAGGAGATGCTATTGGGCCTATACTCACAAAAGTGTTAGAGGATGCTGCTATTCATGGCTTTCCTTCATCTTGGTCTCTACGGAAGATTGTTCCTATTCACAAATCTGAGAGCAAGGCCTTGGTGACAAACTATCGCACTATCATGGTGGGTAGTATTTTTGCCAAGTTATTTGGCAAATTGGTGGAGTCAAAGTTGAGCACATGGGCTGAATCTTGTCAGAAGAGAGCACGGTTCCAAGATGGTTTTTGTCCTACATTCAACACTATAGACCATATCTTGGTTTTACGTGTTCTATGGGAGAAATCCAAGGGTAATGGAAAAGCTTTGTTTTGTGCCTTCATTGATTTCAAGAAAGCTTTTGACATAGTACCTCGTGAGCTTTTATGGCAAAGATTGCAAACCATTGGAGTACCATCAGATCTCTTGGCAGCGGTGGCTGCATTATACCACTCAGTTTGGACCAAGATCAACACTTCTCAAACCGAAGAGATTATCAGCACCATTGGAGTCATTCAAGGTTGTCCTCTCTCTCCCACTCTCTTTGGAGTTTTCATAGATGATATAGAAAGGTGGTTGGAGGATTGTGATAGCGAAGGTGTTAAACTTGGAGGCTTTGTCATCAAAGCTCTCTTGTATGCAGATGATGTCATATTACTAGCACGTGATGCCACTAGTTTACAGAAACACCTCGACACTTTGGCTAGCTTTTGTACTCAAAATCAGATGGAAGTCAATTTGGAGAAGTCCAAAGTCATTCTTGTGGGCACTAGATCCAAGCTCTCTTTGTGTTACAAAGGATTAGAGTTGGAACAAGTGAAAAGTTACAAATATTTGGGCATTGATTTCTCATCTGATTATAGTTGGGCACTTTGTGTGCAAAAGAGGGTAGAAGCTGGTTTCAAAGCTCTATATTCATTGCTAAACAGATGTAGAGGAGCTCATCTTGTGTCTTGGAGTCTTAGGAAATTCTTATTCAAGAGCTTAGTGTTTACCGTTATCTTATATGGAACACAAGTGTGGGGTCCTAGTTGTAAGAAGACAGGTTGGCAGCGTTTGGAGAGGGTGCAAAAGATCTTCTTACAAGAAGAATTGGGTGTGAGGACCCAAACTTCTTATGCAATTCTTCTTGCGTAAACAGGTTGTCTACCTCTTGAGGTTGAAGCTCTCTTTTTGACTATCACTTACGTCAAAAGAGTGAGATCTCTTGATGCTTCTCGACTTCCTCTTGAAGCTTTGCCAGCCACACGTCCCAAGGGTTGGTTTGCAGATGTGGTGACTTGGTCTTTGAGGTGGAATGTGACGGAACTCGATTGGAATTTGCAACCTATTGCCCTACGCGAGCGTATTAAGGAGGAATTTCTCAGCATTATGTGGAGTAGACGAGGCACCAAGATGCAGTTTTATCAACTTCATGTGAATCCTATGCTTGTTTATTGTGAGCAAGGATACTTACTTGCAGAGATATCTACTTCTTTACGTCATATTATTGCTAGACATAGAACTGGATCTCATAGTCTTGGAATTGAAGAAGGGCGTTGGTTGAACATTGATAGGAGTGAACGTATTTGTAGGCTATGTGATGGGAGGAAAGTTGAGGATGAAGAGCATGTATTTCTTACTTGTTCTAGGTATGTAGAGATTCGAGTGGCGCATAAAGTTGATGTCGAGAATTTCTTTTCTCTGCTTCAACTTGAGCCTTATGATTTAGGTTGTTACATTAGAGATATTATTAGTTACCGTTCTAGTGCTTTGGGCACTAGCTAGGGGGTTCTTTTGGTTCTCTCCTAGTTTGGACTTGGATTGTTTGTATTGTGTTTTTTAGCCTTTTGACCCTTTGGGTCCAACGAGCTTGATCTTTTTACCATTTACCATTTACAACTCATAGAATTGCTCAAAACTTCTGCATCGAAGTTCTTTTTGAGGCATAGTACTAGGATTGCTAAGGGGCTACCTTGCAATGGATGGTTTGACTCTAAATGCAAGCTAGCAAGGGCAAGGTCTGTTGATAGGTCTTTGGATATTCAAAGTCGGCTTCTTTTTTATATCCTTATAC